CAACGTCCACATGCGCGCGTCGTCGCGCGTGGATGTTGAAATCCTTCAGTGAGGATTTCATGATGGAGGTTCCCAGAAACATATGAAACCAAAACGATTGGATTTGCAAGCGTATGTGCCAAACAAAAATCGCGCTCGCTCTTGCGATTTCATGGGGAAGCTATCGTTGCTTAAACCGCGCGGGCCTCTGCGCGCGAATGTCGAAATCATTCGAACGCCCTTGCGCGCTTGCTGGGGGGGAACGATCCCTGTCGAGGAATACCATGCGGACCACTCGCGTCGCGTCGGCCACGCGCGCGCATATCGAATTCCTTGCAAGACCTTCATCACCGTCACGTGGACACCAGCACCGTCATCGACGTGACCGGCATCGGCGCCGTCATTGGCCTTGCCGTCGTCGTGGTTATCATCGTCACCATCATCGCTACTATCATCATCGTGTCCGCCGTTATCGATGTCACCATGATGCCGCGCCCGCCAGAGTCACCGACTCGCACTGGAGCGCCGGCGCGCCAGCGCGGCCTGCGAGACGCGCTGGGAAGTCCCTAGCGGTCAGCGCCAGCACCAAGTAGTCACCGCAATGGCCGCGGCGTGGGTCTTGCAAACCAAAGTGCGGGTGGGTGGGTGGGATGACTGCGCGAGCATTGGAGTTGACACGAGTTGACAACTCCAAGTTCTCAGGGTGAATTCCCCTTTCCATAAGGAAGATAGACTCTACCCCCCTCCCCCCCCCGCGCGCGTCGTCGCGCGCGCATGCCGAAATCCTTCAAAAACCTTCGGTTCCGGAAAGATTTCAAAATTGAATTTTCGAAAAATATACAAAAACACAGGGTTTCGCAACACTGATTTGCTAAAAAGGCTTACGCGCGAGCTCTTGCGAAATCTTAAGAAAACCATAGGTTTTTTCAAGATTTTGACAAAATGCTACCAAACGGGCTTCGCGCGCGCATGTCGAAATCTGTCGAACGCCCTTGCGCGTGTGCCGTCGCGAGAATCCTCTGCAAAAAATGGAACGAAGTGCAGACGCGCGCGAAGTCCCGCGCGTATGCCGAAATCCTTCGAAAACCTTCGGTTTCGGAAGGATTCCACAATCGTGTGTCCAAAAAGTTTACAAAAAAACAAAAAAAAGTTTCGCAACACGGGTTTTCAACAAAAGCGTGCGCGCGCGTTCTTGCGTCGTCGTCGTCGTCATCGTCCTCCCTCCTCCCTCGTCGTCGTCGTCGTCGTCGCCATCGTCGTCTTCTGTCTTTCCTCGTCGTCGTCGTCGTCGTCTTGGCGTCGTCGTCGCTTCCGTCGTCGTTGTCGCCGTGGTCGTCCTTCCTCCCTCGTCGTCTTCGTCGGAGTCTCGTCGTTGTCCCTCCTATTTCGTCGCCGTCGTCGTCGTCGTCGTCGTGGTCTTCACTCCTCCCTCGTCGTTATCATCCTCCCTCGTCGTCGTCGTCGTCCGTCGTCGGCGTCTCGTCGTCGTCCCTCCTATTCCGTCGTCGTCGTCGTCGTCGTCGTTGTCGTCGTCGTCTTCCCTCCTCCCTCGTCGTTGTCGTCGTCGGCGTCGCCGTCCTTCCTCCTTCTTTGTCGTTCGCGTCGTCGCCGTCTTCCCTCCTCCATCGTCGTTGTCGTTGTTGTCGCCGTCGTCGTTTTTTCTCGTCCCTCGTCGTCGTCTCCGTTGGCGACGTCGTCGTCGTCTTCGTCGTCGGCGTCGGCGTCCTCGTCGTCTTCGTCGACGTCGACGTCGGCGATGTCGTCGTAGTCGGTGTCTGCGGCGCCGTCGTCGTCGTTGTCGCTGTCGGCGTCGGTGTCGTGGCCAAGTGCCATGTGGTACCTACCTTCACGGTCTTGTCTTAAGAAGTCTTGCGACCAAATTGCGGGTGGGAGGGTGGGATGTTTGCACGAGCAGTAGAGAGGATAGCTTCAAGACGGTCAAAGTGGATTTCATCCCGTAGATTGTACACGGCCTCGCTTGTAATCCACGCGTTGACAGAGTTATTTGTTTCCGTGCTGGAGGTTCAAGCTGACTTTCTGTTATAGAGTTTGGGAATTTTCTCGGCTGCGCCAGACATGACATCCCGAAGCAGTTGTAAATATCTGGCGGCACTGGCTGGCTTTTGGTCTGCGCTCGATCTGTTCTCCCGGGAGCGAGAGAGAGAGAGCGAGACGACGGGTTCTTGCCCCGGTATATTGCGAGCTGTGCGGGGATCTTTTTTTCGCGCCGCAGAGCCGCCTGCATCTTCTGCCGAGACCATACCAGACCGACCTCTCGTTTTTTGGTTTGGCCCGCCCGTGTTTTTGGAAAGGAGGGCCGCCCTGAGGGCGCTGTGATGGGGATCGGGGCGGGTCTTCCGAGGTGGGCAGTGGGCGCAGGCGCTGTCGCTGCTCAGCAAGGTCCGTTGCTCCTCCCTTCTGCCCCTCCTCCTCCTCCTCCTCCTCCTCCTCCTCCTCCTCCTCCTCCTCCTCCTCCTCCTCCTCCTCCTCCTCCTCCTCCTCCTCCTCCGTCTCTCCTCCCTCTTCTCCACCTCCTCCCTCCTCCTTCTCTCCTCATGCTTCCTCATTCCCGCCTCCCTCCTACCCCCTCTGCTCGTCGTCGCCCTCCTCCTCCTACTCCTCCTCCTCCTCCTCCTCCCGTCCCGAGGTCCGGGAGGTCAGGCTGGAGCAGGACGTCGTCGGCTACAGCGCCGGGGTGAGCGCGTGCCAGGGGGACGCCGAATGGGAGCGAGCGCTGCTCTTGCTTGGGGAGATGCGGGGGGCGAAGCTGGATCCTGATGTCACAACATATGGCGCTGGAGTCACCGTGTGCGAGAAAGGTGGACAGTGGCAGCATGCGCTGTTCTTGTTAGAGGAGCTGCGGAGGGCAGAACTGCAAGCAGACGTGATCATCTGTAACGCCGCTGTCAGTGCCTGTGAGAAGTCAGGGCAGTGGCAGCGCGCGCTGTCGGTGCTGTGCGAGATGATGGAAGAGAGGATGGAGCCAGACGCGATCAGCTATAACGCTGGCATCAGCGCCTGCGAAAAAGGGGGGCAGTGGCAGCAGGCGTTGTTATTGTTGAGGGAACTGCGGGAAGCTGACCTGGCGCCCGATATCCTCAGCTACAACGCGGGCATCAGTGCGTGCGAGAAGAGGATGCAGTGGGAGATGTCGCTGGCGCTGCTGAGCGAGCTGCGGGGAGAGATGCTGGAGGCAGACGTCATAACTCAGGGGGCGGCCCGACCGACTCCTGGCGGGCGGGCCCGCTCCGCGACGGCCTCCCTCTCCTCGCCTCCACCGACGCGGGCGGGCGGCCCGGAGGCGGGGCCTCGAGGGCGCGGGGCTCGTCGAGGAGGGGGGCCCGCCACGGGACGGGGTCGGCCGGGCCGTGCCCGGCTCACCTACCACGCCGCGGTCAGCGCCTGCAAGAAGGGCTGGCACTGGAGGGAGGCGGTGTCGCTGCTGCGGGAGATGGGCGGCGCGGCCCTGGAGCCCGACGTCGCCAGCTACAACGCCGTCATCCAAGCGTGCGCGGGGGGAGCAGGCCTAAGTCGGGCCTGTCCCTCTACAGGGGGAAAATTCAAAAATAATCGAAAAATAGTCTGGGGACTATTGTTTGACCTTTTTGTAAATTTTCGGAGCATTTTCGGTGTATTTTGTAAAATTTTTCGTCCAAAATCGGACTGTAGGGGGACCCGACTTAAGAGCAGGCGGGCAGTGGCAGCGGGCGCTGTCGCTGCTCAGGGTCCAGGGGCGGGCCCAACCCCCCGGCAACCCGATCTCCTCCCCAGAGGAGATGATCCCGACACCGCTACCCGTGCCTCGTCGTCTCGGCTGGAGCCGCCCCGAAGTCTTGGTCGCAGCACATCCCAAGAGAGGCCTCGGGGAGCGGCGGTGTGGATCATCTGTTTGCTTCCCCACTTCGGTGACGACCTCTCCCTCGCCTCGTCACGAGGCGTGGGTGAGAGGCCAGGGGGGAGTTTCAGGGCGAGGGTCTCGTCACAGAAGGGGTCTGTTCGCGCCCGGGAAGGAGATGCTGGCAGCGGAGATGGAGCCGGGCATGAAGACGTACAGTGCTTGCGTCATGGCCTGCGCGAGCGGCGATCAGTGGCAGCAGGCGTTGTCTTCGCTTGGAGATCTGAGGGACGCGGGGCTTGTGCCGGATTTGTTCTGCTACAATATTCAATCCAACGCGTGTTCGAAGGGTGGGCAGTGGCAGCGGGCGCTCGCGTTGCTAAGGGAACTTTGCGAAGCAAGCTTGGAGCCCGATCTCGTCAGCTTTAACATTGGGATTGGTGCATGCGAGAAGTCTGGTGAGTGGCAGCAGGCGTTGTCGCTGCTGTGCAGTCTTTGTGACTTTAAGGTGGAACCAGACTCCGTTAGCTATTCTCTTGGAGTTAGCTCTTGCGAGGAGGGATGGCAGATGCTGTGGGTATTGCCCTTGCTGAGAGGTTTGTCTGACTCCGTGATCTGTAATGAATTTCTGGTTCCAGCGCGTGCGAAACATGTGTGAATTCACCGTAGTTCTGAAGCTGCTGAGTGACACGTAGGTTGCCTCGAACATGTTTCGTGTCGCGCAGATGTTGCTGTTTCCAAGCCAGCTGTGAGGACCGTGTCGAGGCCATTCCCTATGGGCGGGCAGAATGAGCAGTGCGCGAAGTCGGACACACGGTGCTCGTGCATGCGAGGGCGAAGACCGCGAAACATCGTATTGATGCGGCGAAGGGTGTTGGCACGTGCACGGGTCGACGACACCAGCCATGGACAGGGTGTTGGCGCATGCAATGACCACGATCAGGTACGAGTTCACGAATGCCGATGGCTCGATTCCTCGTGAAGCTTAGTTAAGAGGGGCGCCACTTTCGGATCCTAAGGTAGAGCATGTGGCACCGAGCTAGAAAAAGTCAGGCATCTTGGAGGCCATGCTGGACTATATCCTAGGCTATCTTGGGTCATCTTGGACGCTCTAACCGCTCGCGGGGCCCCAGGCCCCCGAAGTGGAAGGAGGTTGGAACACTAAACTTCTTAAGCCACCTCGCCCAAACATCTGTTGGATTGTATGCCCTGTTTTCAACCACGTGCTGCCATGCATACCCGCCATTGTGTTTGGAAAGATCGCGATTACAGTTTAGATCAGTTTAGCGTTGCATGTTTGCAATGTTGCATGACTGTTGCGGTGCTCATTAAGGACTGTTTAGGGGCTCCTGGAGGCCCCACGGAGGTCATGAGGAGACCAAATGAAGGAGGAGGAGGATGAGGAAGACGAGGAAGAGGAGGAAGGGCAGGAAAAGGAGGAGGAGGAAGAGGAAGAAGAACAAGAGGAGGACCTCAAGCAGGGGTAGCAGAAGCACCAAGGGCAGGAGGAGGGGATCAGTGTGAACCCAAGACGCGGCAACGATGTTGCCGTACACCCTCCCTCCAAGTTTCGTGACAAAACACAGCTCCTGGGACCTCAGCGCTGCGGATCAACGTGACAGTTGCGTCATGACAAACCGAAATCCTGCCAGAACGTCGTTCCGGGCGATTCAATACCGAAAATGACTGGCTGTTTGGTCCTGGCAATCCTACATCGTGCTGGAACACCTTTCTTGGACTTCGACCATACGAATATTCCCCCTTGTGGGAAACTTTGAAGACGAATGCTCGACAAAGAAACCGGCTTCCATCCGTGAGCCTACAACAAATTTTAAAGACAAGTGTGCGAGGCGCTAAAGCGAGAGCTACATTTTGAACACTGGCCGGCCTCCATGCGTGCATTTGCTGCAATCGTTTAAGACGAATGTGCGCGGCGCTAGGGGAAAAGCCACATTTTGAAAACGACCCGCCATCCATTCGTGAAATGCCTGCAGCCGTTCAAGACGAATGCGCGATGCGTCAAGGCAAGAGTAACATCTTGAGAATGACCCGGCCACCATCGGTGAAACCGTTGCCATGCTCAAGCTTCAATACCATCAACGGCGAGGAAGTGTCAGGCGCAATTCCTTGGCCGCCCTACCAACACGTCTGGGGATGCGGCAGGGATGAGTTTCTTGTAAGGAGAAGGAAAAGGGATCGAGTAAGAGGAGGCGGAGGAGGAGGAGGCGGAGGAGGAGGAGGAGGAACAGGCGGAGCATCTGGCTCAAGGAGCAGGAGCAGGAGCAGGAGCCGCGTGCCGCTTGCCTGCGATGGCCCTGCAGTGAGGGGAGGATGCCCCTCTATCCTCCTCCTGCGTGCGGGGTCGGCGGCGGGCGGCCGCTGCTGGCTGCTCCGCGCTGCCCTCGGTGGCGGCTGCCCTCTGCTGCAGGCTGCCTGGTTATGCCCCTCGCGCATGGCCCTTGCGCGCTCGGCTGCGGGGCCGTCAGCCTTGGTCGCTCTGGCAGGCGCCGCCGGCGCGGGTGGGCCATCCAGGCTGCACGCGATCCCCGCGTGCAGGATGCGGCTGCTCAGGCGGGTGCCTTCGAGCAGGCAGCTGCATGGATGGAGGACCATGCCACCAGCAGTGCAGCCGGTGAGGAGCAGTTTTGCTTCGTTGGCTGGCAGGTGTACCTTGCTGGCGCCCTCCTCCTCATTCTCATCATCACCATGGTGTTCATCTGCTGCTGCACCGTCGGCACGCTTGTGTGCTGCTGTGGCCCTGTTAAGCTCCTCGGCGGCCAGGCGATCGCGGGACGGCTCGCAGGTACACTGGCATCGGCCACTCAGGGTATCTGGCCCGGTTGGCCAGCCTCATCGAGCCTGGGGGTGACGCGGCCGTCGAGCAGATGGCCCAGGCGCTGGACGTCTCGCCAGCCGCGGTGCGCACCGCGGCCCCCGTCGCAAACTGACGGCGTGGCGAGGCAGCTGCTGGGCAGCTGGGTGCGCGACCTCTTAGGGAAGAGGGCGTGGAACCCAACCCTGGCCCCGGTTCTGAACCGCTCGATTTCATCGAGCCGGCGCGGGCCCTCATCGACGCGCGCGCGGCGGACCCGCCCGGGCCACCGACGGACGGCTTCGAGGCACCGCCAGAGGTGCCTGGGCCGCGGGGGGGCCGCTTCGAGGTGGAACCCGCGACCCCGCCGCTGCGCAGGCCGGAGTTGCAGGAGCTCTGTCGGGACCTTGAGGAGCGCGTCAGGCAACTCGAGCAGCAGTTCGAGGGGCGGCGGGGATGAGGGGAGAGACGAGGTGCAGCAGGAGGCGGAGGCTTATCGGCCACGCGGCCGGGACAGGAGTTGGCGGCTGCGGCCGCGCCGAGACGGAGGTTCAGGAGGAGGCAGCGGCAGCGGCTGCCGACGCCGCTGCTGCCGCTGCGAGCCGCGGCGCGTCGCGCATGCGCCCCGGCTGCCGCGGCGACGCGGTGCCGGCGCGGCCAGGCCGAGGTGCTCAGTGCGCCATCTGCGGACGCGGATGGGGCAGGGGGGGGCGGGCGTTCTCCCGCGCGCCCTGCGCCGCCGCGGCGCGCGGCGCGCGTGCCGAGGCCGCCGCAGAGGCCGCTGCCGCGGCTGCGACCGCGGGGGAGGCGCCCGCCGAGTCCCGGGACAGCGGCGCGGTGGCCCCGTCGCCGTCGGGCGCCTTGCCCGGCGTGCCTGGCGAAAACGGCCGCGCGCCCCAGCGCCCCCAGTAGATCGCGGAGGAGGAGGAGGAGGAGGAGGAGGAGGCTCTGTCTGCCGCGGCGGCCGCCGCCGCCGCTCCAGAGGGAGCAGGCGGCGAGAGCCGCAACGTCCAGCAGGCCATCGACACCATCGAGAAGGCGATCGCGGACGCCGCCCCCCCGCCAGGCGAGGAGGCGGCGCGCGCGAGGGGGCGAGACGCGCATGGCGTGCGAGGCGCCCATGGTGAAGGACAAATGGGGCCACAGGTGCTCTTCGCGCCACGCGTGCTTCTGCAGCGCGCGGTGTCAGAGCTCTGCTCTCGAGGCCCGCTGCCGCGGTTCACCCGCGCCCCCGGCGTCACCTGGCGGCGCCGGAAGAGCGGAGGGGGAGGGGGAGGGGGAGGCGACGCAGGAGATGCAGCAAGCGGAGTCTGAGGGGGCGCAGCGTTTTCCGACGCACGTGTTCAGGCACCCAACCCAGCCAGCGCAGCCGACATCGATGCCATGCTCAGCGAGGCCGTCGCCGCCCCGGCGCTCTCCACCCTCGCGCGGGTGCCCTCGCAGCTTCGCGTCGTCACGGTTCTTTGGGACCCTGGGCAACATGCGGACGCGGAATCGGCAGCTGCGAGGCGCGGGGCTCCAGTCAACGCGGCACGCGCGGCGCGCTAGCCAGCCCCTTTGGCCGGCGCCGGCGCCCCCCCCCCCGCCGCCAGAACGCGGTGCGCGTGGGCGCCTCGGAGTCCGAGCCAGAGCCGCATGGTGCCGATAAGCCAAATTACAGCGCCATGATCAAGGAACGCTTGCACTACGCGGAGCTGGGCGATTTCAGCCATCTCCTCTCCGCCTACCGCACCTGCGCGACCTCCGGGCCGTTCGCGAGCAGGACACGCGCGCTGCCGAGGGCCGCGAGGCGGAGCTTCCGGGCCAGCCCACACGGGGCGAAGACGCGTTCCGGAAGGCCGCGGGCAAGCTGAGCAATGGGACCGCCCGCGTTGCGAAGGCCTTGCTCACGGGGGCGGCCCGGACACCCTTGGCGCCGGAGACGGCCGAGCGCATAGACGCCCTCGCCAGCGTGGACGTCGACAGCGACGAACGCGAAGCTCAATTGAGAGAGCGCCGGCTCGCGCCCCACGGAGCGGAGCAGGCCCCTGCCCCGAGGCATCGCGTTCTCCAGCGCAAACTGCTCACCTTAAGGGGTGCGGCGCGGCGTGGCCCCAGCGGCTGGCGCAACGCATTCCTCGCGGACACTGGCACGGTGAATGGCGGCATCCAGGCCCTTCCAAGTGGGCCCAGCTCTAGAAGCAGGGGCGCATACAGGATAGCAGCATTGTGATGTGGACTGCAGCGCGCGTCGCGCCAGTTGATGGCGGCTGGGCCCCAGCCAAGCCCGGGTCGCAGCCCCTGCGCGCAAGCTGAGGCCGATAGCTCGCGCAGAGGTTCCGCTGAAGCTGGCGGAGGGCGTGCGCATCGACGAGCATGTGACCAAGCTCCTGCGCTGCCTCGAGCCGAACCAGTTGGGCTCTGGCACGCCAGACGGCGCTCTCCCAATCATCCACATCGCGCGGTCCCGGGCCCGGCTCTTGGAGCGGGATGGGGAGGGCGCTGGGGCAGAGGACGCGGGTGTTCTCGCGCCCATCGACTTTGAGAATACCTATGGCCGCGCTTTCCGTTCCCCCTGCCGCCAGGGCCGCCGTGCCCGAGCGCCCGAGATCGCAGCGCTCGCGGCGACCCATTGGCGGCCGGGGCACTTCACAGCGCGGCAGCGCGTCGGAGGAAGATGGCGACAGTCGCAGGCTTCGCGAGGGGGCTGGCAGGGCGCCCGCCTCATGCAGGTGTTGTTCGCCATGGGCCCGGAGGATTCCCTGCGGACCCTTCCGCGCGCAAGCGCTAGGCCCCCGCCGCCCCCGCCCAGCTGCAGCCGCGTCGGCTACCAAGATGGCGCCAACGTACTCTCGAAGGCCAGCGCG